AAAAAAAAAGATGGCCATCAGTCATTCTTTGGCAGGTTAAACATTGCTGGTTAACAGCAGTGACAGGAGTATTTACTTTCTCTGCTGTTGTCCCAGAAGCCTTTTTCAGGTGTTTGAGCACCGCTGATCAAGTCAAACAGGTGAGATGTCAGGAAGTTTGACATTCACGTCACTGGTTATCCGATGCCCAGAGCCTTTTAAGTGTGTTAAAACACCCATGTCTGTTTTCTTGGAGGAGAGGAGGACGGTGGCTAGCTATGATGTCATGGTTTATTTGAGATGTAAATATTAATCTCAAAGAGAAATGCATGTGCATTAGACATTATCAGAGCTGGGCTTGGATACAGAGGACTTGCTTCTATTTAAACCTTTTCTTATACAAAGAAACCTCCTTGGGAGAATTAAAATGCCTTTGTTGGTCAGTAAATTTATAAACAAGTCAACACATTCTTATTTAATCTTTTAGGTCTAGTACGTGCTATCTCTGAACACCATGTTCTAACTTTATCCACTTTTGGGAGAGTTTTATCTTCCTGCAGATGCATTTTTCCTTGTTGCATGTCCCCCCCCCCCTGTTCTTTTATATTTTGCTCCTTTTATTGATTACGTTTGATATAAACGTCTATAATTCTCCAAGGTGGGAGGGCGCAGGTTGGTCCTTCTCTTGTAAAGCAGAAAAGATGCAAGATAAGAGGGGTTATTATTAAAGACTTCCCGCTGAATCTCCAGGGAAAGATGTTTATTAATCTTTCATTATTCATCAGGGTCACTCGCTTCATATTTAACACTTTAAAAAGATAAGTGAAAACAAATAATGTTTAATTCATCTGTCCATTTGTTTAGAGGGCATGCATGGCTTTTATGTGTCCTGACGCTGGCGCATTGTTCCTATATTAAACTAATAAATTAAGGTGATGTGCAACGGCAATTAGACATAGGATTTATCTGCCGTCTGATTCATTTACCTGTTATTTTGACACCGTGAGCTGAAATATATGACCTTTTAAGCCAATTAAAATGCAATCAAAATAATTTTTTGCTCTCAGCCATTAGCTACAGTTACATGGTAACTTTAAAATAATACTTTCTGACTTTGAACACCAAACTTTGACAGTGTGTAAGCTGGGTCTTTGTTAAACAACGCGAAATTTCCGTCTCAGTAAGTAACAATCAGGATTAAGCAAGTGAGCAACAAAGCAGCAACCTTCAGCGTTGCAGTTACTCAAAACGAGACCGGCCTTTAAAGCAAGTCAGTTCCCATAGAGGCTCATGGTTAAATTCCCAGCTTCACAGAAGAAATAAGCACATTTACAGTGTATTACGACGCAGCTGTACAGGTAATACAGTTTTGTATAACCCACCTCTGCAAATCTATTCACTTGGCTTTAATTTGAATCATTAAGATGATAATTTCTTCCTAAAATTGCTTTGAGAGGATGGGAGTAGGGGATTTTTTTTAATTGCTGCTTTAATGCTTAAATGCATAATTAAAGGCACCCTGCTCCAAGTGATGTGTGGGTGCCCTGTGATCTCGTCCAATGTTTGATTGTGTTTAATTTATCCAACAAGTAGGCTGTTTTTAGGTTTTAAGACAGCTTTTCACTGCCCAAATTTTGCATCCTGTTTAACAGTCAGACAGGGTTAGGATTATAGATACAACTTGCTAATCAAACTAGCTGCAGGATAGTGCTTACTTTAGTTCTTAACTTCTCATCTTTTGTGTAAACATGGTAACTTCCAGTTTCAAAAGAAGAAAGTCCAATGGCTAAAACAGTAAACAAAAGGCTTTAAGACCAGAATTAATACAATAAATTAATGCTTAACATTGAAATCTGAAAAGTCATGGATAACGGTAATTATATTTTTGCATAAAAATGTATAATTTCATGCTTGCACATAAAGGAGTAACCATTACAGAAAGATAAGCTGGTTGTAGCTGTTAACTGCGGTATACACCTTTCATTAGGTGGTAATCTAGTATATTTGTTTGTAATGTATATGCTCTTGCACCTCTGTAAGTAGTCTCAAAATCCAGATTTGAATATCTGGATTTTTATTAAGCTGCTTGAATGGGACATTTTTATTTTAAATAACAGATGTAGCTGCACTTAAACTTGTGTTTTCCTTTTATCTGCGTCTAAATTGTTGATGTTTGTGAAAATTGTCATGCGTCCTGTTCAAAGACACCGATGACGTCAGTGCAACTGAAATGATCTAAGTTATTCAGCAATCCCAGGCAAACTGGTGGTAATGACCTCTCTTAAAGTCACATGACATGAAAGGGTAAACTCGAGTTCACAAGTTGTGTCGTAAAATCATTACAATTACAAATTATAAACCAAATAAAGTCATATTCATTTCTCCACTATAGAGACAAATGATGAATACCTGTTATTTATAAGGACTGTTGTTGCTAGGTATTCCTGTGTCTGATCACAAGCGGCCATTTAATCAACAAAGCTTTTTAGAGTCACATTGACCAAGCAGAGGTGGATGAACCGCGCCTGAGCGTTCAGTGATGACATAACTATTTGGCAAGATGTCTCACAGCTGTCCCACTGAACTGATAAGCATGAAGAAGTGCAGTGGCTACAGCCATGATGTTGAAGCAAAAATAGAAGCAGCGGGATGTTTTGATATGAATCAATCCTCAAATACTGGAAAGAAATCTCACGTGCTCCCACTTCCTGTGACAGGACCATGTGAGGATAGCTGGCAAAAGTTTTCAGCAAACGTTATTAAAAGCCAAATGAAATAAAATTAAATAAAAAATAAAAATTGTGTATGTATATATGTGTATATATATGTATGTATACATATATAAAGAGGGGTGGTAGATATACTGAAGAAAGGATGTTGAATGCGGAGCTGCAGACCACAGAAAGGGTTC